AAAATATATTATTTCCTGGAAGTCAAGGTTACGAACGTGTGCCCTCTCCTTTTCGAATGAATTGGAGATCTTTTAAGCAAGAATTACATTTTCCCCTAATTAACGATTACACAGGGAAAGATCGATCGTTAGAAGGATTGATTATAATCGTGAAACCGAAAGGTAACCCTTTTTAATAGCACCTGGATACCTTTCTCGTATCATCTAACAGCAATTTTACTTACGAAGCATCGTTTCAAATAAAATGGCATATAATTGGAAATAATCATTCAAATGGTATTTAACACGAAATTTTGTTTGACTATGTCTGTGTGATATCGTTTAAATTTGAAGAACAAGTATACATGAGTTAAATTGATACATAGTTTTAATATCTCGGAAAATAATATTTTCCACCGTTTTTTAAACTTTCGTAAGAAGCAATAAAAAGCCCAGTTTATGCGAATGATCCCGAATTATGTGAATTGACTCAGGACTGTCTTCAGGAATTTCTTCTTCCGAAGAAATCCTTTCGTTCTTCTTACGTCGTTATTGTAGTTTTCACTTCAGGCATGTCTTCAAATATTGTATTATTATAGCAACAAATGTATACGTATAATTATCAGCAAATTATAAAAAGAGGAAACCTGCGGATGTTAGCTCGATTTAAGTACAATGTCCTCTTAGAAAGGAAGCAAAGGATTAATAAGGACAAGTTAATTTAATTAGACTGGTCTTTTGTTCTTTTAAACATAAATGAAATATAATCTCTTTTTCTTGAGTGAAAATTACCAGTATATACTAGACAATGGGGATAATATAAAAGAAATAATTAAAATAATTAATAAACTTGTTTCCTTCGGTTTATAAATTAATGAGAAATCTGGAGATGATATCTCGTAAGAGCAATAAAAAAAGGAACAATCTAAAAGCCATTGTTCCCTTTTAAAAATTAAAATAAATGATTTCTTTTCATTTACCGAAACACAGTTACTCATTTTATGTAAAAATTCCATTCCGAGCAGCGCGTAATTATTTCGGACAATCAGAAAATTCTGCAATATTTCAAACGCAAAAAAAGCGAATATTATAATTAAGACCAATGGTAATCTCCGATCGTTGCATAGAAAGATTGATTCTATGAAAAGCCTTTGAATAAAAATTTGTTTCCCATGGGCGAACGAACCTCGGTACAAAGACTTAATTATCATTTTCGAATTTAATTTTGTGTTGCAAACAACGACGACGACACAAAATGATTTAGAATTCAATGCGTATCGATTGCGATGAATAATGTAGCTTGGATAAATCAATTGGATTGTTAAAAATTTCTGTATCACGCGTGCATTTCTCGGCTAGCGACTATTCGAGGGGCCAATGGAAAAGGTCAATTGATAAAATTCGAATGGAATATGGATTGCCGAATTTATCACTCGCGGACAGAAATTATAAAAGTCAGACAAAATTGAAATTAATCTCTATGTACGCTACGTGGAGTTTCGATTTGAATATTGATTGACAAACGTTCCTCTTTTTAATTTTACGAATTGTCCATGAATTAGAAATCTTCCAACGAGGAAATAACAGTTGGA